GAGGAGCAGCGGCTCTACTCTAAGTCTCTCCTGGATGACTGAGCTTCTCACCCTATCTCTAAGGGAGAGGCCAGACACCCTGCAGAGGAGCCAGTGAAGAGAAACTAGAACAGGAGTAATATGCAGTGTTGTATAAACATATTACTAATATGTTCTCTTTTACCTGTGCCAGTTAGAAATCAAGCTGCTGCATTCTGTACCCTGRTGCTTGAACATGGTGTYCATTACGGACAATCCAYGAYAAGCACAGAAGTCCAAYAACGAAGCACCTCTCRGGTTCAGATCACACTTCTCCAGGTCTCACTGTCATTACCCATGTGAGCGTTGAAGTACCCCAGCAGAACRAGGGCCGTTTGGAGTGCTCTCCAGCAGCCCCTCCAAGGACTCCAAAGAGGGTGGGTAATCTGAACTGCTGTTAGGCTCACAGGCACAAATAACAGTCAGGACCCGTCCCCCCACCCGTAGGCGGAGGGAGGCTACTCTCGTTCACTGGGGTGAACCCCAACGTACAGGCACCAAAATGGGGGGCATTAAGTATGCTCGGCACCTCTCAGCATGGGCAACTCCAGAGTGGAAGAGTGTCCAACCCCTCTGGAGGAGACTGGTTCCAGAGCCAGAGCAGTGTGTTGAGGTGAGTCCAACTATACCAGAACCTCTCAACCTCACACACCAGCTCAGGATCCTTCCCCACCAGAGTGGTGCCATTCCACGTCCATTGAGCCAGCTTCTTTAGCTGAGGATCGGACCGCCAAGGTCCTTGCCTTCGATCACTGCCCAAAACACAATGCACCCAACCCCTACGTACGGCCCCTCCCACAGGTGGTGAGCCCACGGGAAGGGGGACCCATGTCTCCTCTTTGGGCTGTGCCCGACCAGGCTCCATGGGCGACAGCCCGGCCACCAGGGGCCCACTAACGTGCTCCACCTCCAGGGCCATACAACAACAATAATAATAATAATAATAATAATACATGTGCATATTTAAACAGTTAAAGACAAAACAATGCAGGCTATATATAACCTGACTCCAATATCAATAACCTGTCTGTCACAACAAGGCTGCTCAAAATTAGTCCATTGCTGGCCACATTAATTATGCATGGGCACATGTTAATTATGTCGTAGGCATGTGATACATACTCCGTATGTATCTTGTTGAAGAGAAAAAAGTGAGTAAAAACATTAAAAGGTCAGAACTGCAAATAAACTTAAATGAAATAATTTCATGATTTAATGCTTGGATTCAGATCAGTATGTGATACATGAACTGTATTTACACATTTGTAACCAACCAGGCTACTCAAAGCACTTCACAACCCAATCTGTGTCCTCATTCAGCCATCCACACATTCATACAGCATTTAGTCAGTGTGCTCAGTTAGCAGTAACTGATCATACAGGTAGAATTTTATTCAGCATTTGGTTTTATGTATCTTTTACTGTCTACTTATGTCAAAGTTGGGACCCCAAAACATTTCCTGCTCAGGGCCCCCAAATGTCCAGGTCCAGCCTTGTGTAAGTGTAAGGAGAACCAGGGATCAACATCAACACGTTTGTTGAAATACTCATCTCCTAAATGTAGGCGTATAATTCTAAAAAGATACTAATAAATATCTGGAGGAGAAAAAAAACAATGGGGTTCTTTTTTAGACTCAGGTGAAATATTTACAAAACTCTCAGCTTTCTGTACATCAACACACACCCTATTGACTTTAATTTAAACCACATTTTATAAATCTCGGTGGAATTATAGTGTGAACGCATTTGTTTTGTAACGTTATTTTATTTTTGAAGAGATTGGGACCATTTAACCCGCTTTCTCAACACGTATAGGCATGAAATTCTTACCGTCATATTCGCAGAGAAAACAYATTTTTAAAAACATTTTCCAGATGTTTCCACACGATGTCGTTGTTTGATAACTCCTGCAGGCTGTTTCCGTGTCTCTGCACAGAGCTTGTTCGCGGCTGTAACCAGTTTATTCGTACTGATGGTGCACCGGGACCATCGGCTCAGTCTCCTCTCTGCGCTGCTTGTGGATCGGGTAGAAACTGTGCGTAAAGGCGCAGAAATCTGGATTTCCAGGACAGGAGTCCTAAACTTCTTCACCTGCAAGTTCGCTGGGTTTTCACCTCAGCTGTTTCCCGCTCAGGATGACCCACAGGTGAGATCTGAGCCGCTCCTCAGGTGGGATCGACATCGACCCTGCGCTGGATCAGAGGAGACCATGTCCTTTACGCACCGGCACGGTCTGCCTCTGCTCGGCTTCGTCCTCCTCATGCACACGGTCAGTCTGGGTTTGAGTAAAATATTCTTATAGAAGATAAAAAGCATTTTTTTTCTCTCGTGACATTTAAGCAACGCAGGTAATAAAGCCTGCTATCGCCGCTGCCTTCACTCTGAGATTTTTGATTTAGTCGTTTTGGTCAAATTTTGTGTTGATTGACTTGTCTTAGATTTTTTTTTCYAAAACCTAATAAGCTGTAGCTAAATGTAATTATTTTCTGAGAGTTTCAGTAAAATCCTCTGGTCACTGAGATATTTGCTAACTTAAACAACCAAAGGCAAAAACTTTGTCTTCTACTTTTCAAAGGTAAAAATCAGATGATAACAGAGTTTTGTGACAAGATCTTAGCGTTGGTTTCTGATCAACTTCATCACATTGTTTCTGCTCAGGTCAGATTGTAGCAGATCTTAGGAAAAACGATGTGTGGTGTAGTTCTGAGTAGTCAGTATTTTACCTGCAGCAGGCAGCAGTCACTGTCATGACTCTTTGAGGATGGAGCTCATTTAAGAGTATTTTTTCTTAGTTTGAAACAACTCAAACCTCAAACTGTCCAGTTGAAACCATTTCACTTYTTTTCTAATCAAACAAGGATCATGTTGTTGGTTTTGTTAGAGATCTGCTTCAACTCCACTACGATGTAAAAAGTTCAATAGAACTTAAAGGTTTTCTGTGGGGTCTTTCACCAGGTCCGAAGACACCAGTACTTCCTGTTGTTGTGGGATGAAGCAGGAGAGGTCCACAATGGTTTTAAATGTTGACTGGTCACTACACAGTTTGAATTAGAGTCACTTATGGGGCACCAAGTGTAAAATAAAATGTTGAAAGTTTAACAAACACAATTTCATTATTTAGCTCACTTTCTGCATGTTAAAAAAATTCCACATTCAATTAA